GTTGCTCCCACGCTTACGATGCATGAATTTCCGCTGGGTATCCGAAGGCGGTTCGTAAACCTCAGCCATCTCGGCATACGCGTCCTTCAAGGTATTCTTCTTGTCCGGAGGAATCGAGCGGAAGACTGCCAGTGCCTGGTCATCGAGCACGGTAGGCAACGCACCCAAGGCCTCCTCTTCCGTCCATCGTACCGAACGGAATGCCGATTCAAACCGCCATGTGAAAGCGCTCCAGTCGCCGCCCACCGTGACTAAGACGGTGGCTGCGCCCCACTCCGGCGCCTTGGGCAGCGACAACTCCGCATGGCAGCTCGCCACGCGGCTCCACAGAAATGGTGGGCTCCGACCGCATCTCAACAGCCATTCCCAAGATGGTGGCCTCCTGCCGCGTGGCGTCCACCGCGTGCGTAATGGTGAAGAATCCTCCAGCGTCAGCAATGGCGGCGGTCGATTCCCAAGGTGGACCCTCCGAGATCCCCTGAAGAGGCTTCTGCTCGTCGCCTGTCGGCGACACGTCCCGAGGCCGATCTGTCACCGCAGACGATTTGACCAGCATCACCAGCTGGAGAAGGACAGTGTGGAGTGAGTCCTGCTGCTCTGCAACGCGCTGCCAGCCGTCGGCCGCATGCGGAGACGAGGGTGGTGCCCCCGCGCCGTCCGTTTCTGGCGCAATGACCACACCAGCCGTGGTTCCAGTAACCGGGTCCACGGCACCCGGGGTCGGCAGGTCCTGGGTGCCCCAGTCATCTTCTTCTTGAGATGTTTGGACATCTTCGCACTCTGCAGTCTTATCTCGTCTCAAAAAGAACCACTTCTGACTCCAGTTGTAATAAACAACTTCCACGAGTTGAGACTTGCGTCCTTTCTTTATTAGTTATGACTGCTCGGCTCCGCACTTCCTTCCAGATAGTCTCTCTCTCTCTTCCACGCCACATGCATGCGCTCACTGCTCCTTCATCCCCGCGCAGCTTCCCTCACTCTCTCTTTCCCTGCACACCGCTGGTTGACGGCGTGGCGGGAGTCGGGAAAGCTTCGGCCCTCGAGGCTGCCACGTGGTCGGTGGCTTGACGAGATGGTGGAGATGCAGTCCGGAACCAGGCTTCCTCACTGAACCCCGAGTCCCTCTCATGCCTCTCCTTATATCCTTCTCGGCGGAGCGAAGCCCCACCTTTAACCACGCCCCCGTCAGAACCTCCTCGATGGTTCCCGCATACACCCATGAGCTCCGCCCATGAACATTGGCTCAGATCGAACCCATAGCCCTGATTGGCTATGACCGATGCGGCAATGCCTATGCAGCCTTCCGTCACCCGTTGGTGTGCTCTCTCATTACACATGCACGACCAAACTTTCCAGCCATAGCTGGCAGAACACTGAGTACAACCAACTCTTCAAACTTCTCGGTAACAGTAACAACACACATTTGTGTCAAGACAGAAAACAACAGACAGCTTACCTGACTCAGTACATGTGCAAACGGACAGTCAGGAAGTGCATCAAGCCTCCGATTGGTGCAGAGAGGCCTCAAAGAGGATTTGAAAGGGCCAGAGAATTAAATGACAGGTAGAGAAATTCAAATGTAAAAGACGAGGAAACGAGGCTGGACTATCGGGGTAACGGTTGGCAACCGTTAGAGAAGGAGGAGGGGGATCGGCTGAGGGAAATGAGGTGAGCAAAGTTTCGAGAAAAGGGGGCTCGAGAGATATGAAAGGGGAGCACACGAGGGGAAGGGACGGAGAGAAGACGAAGTTGAAGCATCAAGAGCCGAAGCGCGGACCTAGGAACAGTGGTGCCCACAGTAAAGGCTCTTAGTAAAGCAAGAACGTGTGTCGGTGTCATTATATTTGTATAACATCAGAGTTCACAAACTTACCTCAGCGCCCCCATGTGTCGATAATCACAGAAAACCGCGGTGACAAAACAGATGCAGAAAAACGCGACGACCATTTGGAGCAACCCTCACGCACCCTCCCCTCTTGGGGCGATGAGACAACGCATTAGAAGTCCGGGGTGTATGCAGCGGCAGTCTCAGGGCTTGGTTTTAGCGCTTCCAAACGACGCTCTGAGCGATTCAACGCAGTGGCAGTTTCGAGTCCCGGCTCGCACCCAGGACAGCGCTCACAGTGACTCTGTCCAACGGCTGTCCCGGCCACCGACCCGCCCACTCCCTGCAGCGCCGCAACACAGCGACTCCGCGCACCGGGCCAGCCCCACACAAACTGCGGCAGCGGCCACGACGACCCATCGCAACAACAACAATCCTGGCCACCGAGCCGCCCGTACGAATCCGGCATCCCACAAGTACCCGGCTCCCCTCCCGCGAGAGCACCACCGTCCCCGGGCGAACGTCGAACACACCGCCCCCTACGCACGCGGTAGCACTCCCTTAAATACACGGAGTCCCGCCCCCACAGCCTCCGTCAAATTAACTTGCCCCCCCCACCCGCCCCCTCCAATGGGAAGCCCGCAACGCCACACCACGAAAGCCCTTCAGCCAATCACGCACAGCCCCGTCGACTGCCAGCCCTCGCTCACCCCCCACCCGTGCCAATCGGCCTGCCCTGATTGGCCAATTCGTGTGCCTGCCCCCAGTCTAGACTCCGTGGCTGCTTGGCTTCCGGGGTGTAAGATGTCCCCCCACTCATAACCACTCAACCCCCCCACCCCCATTCCTCATGTGACCTCAACCACCCAGGCACACCGTTATAGTAATGCGTCAGTGCTGAATGTATGTTGATTAATTACTGGCGAGATATGCTAATATATGAATTATCGGCGAGTGATACGTTAACTTCACTTCTAAATAACTCGGTCTGCACTGGGAACCAACTCCGGGTGCTGATGACGATGCTGATGATGTTAATGCTACTGATGATGATGCTGATTGTGATGATGATGCAGCTAATAATGATGCAGCTGATGATGATGATAATGCTGCTGACGTTGATGATGATACGACTGATGATGATGCTGATTGTGATGACGATGCAGGTGATGATGATGCTGATGATGATGTTGTTGATGGTGATGATGCTGAGGGTGATGATGCTGAGGGTGAAAATGCTGCTGATGATGGTGATGATGATATTGCTGTTGATGATGTTGATGTTCCTGATTATGATGCTGATGGCGATGCTGCTAATGGTGATGATGCTACTGATGATGCTAATTGTGAAACTGATGATGCTGCTGATGGTGATGATTTGCTGACGACGATGCTGCTTGTGACGATATTTATTTAATGAATCAACGACTTCTCTACCGACAAACACCGCGTGAGCCTCCAGAAATCGCTCGGGAAAGTCCCTCGCTCTCCGCCAGCGGAGGGTGGGAGGGGAGAGGGGTGGGGGAGGGGTGGGGGGAGGATGATGAGGGGTGGGGGGAAGGAGGTAAGGGGGGATGAGGATGGGGGGAAGGGGGTGAAGGAGGATGGGGGGAAAGGGGTAAGGGGGATGGGGGTGGGGGGAAGGGGGTGAGGGGGGATGGGGGTGAGGGCAAGGGGGTGAGGGGGGATGATGAGGGAGGGAGGGGGTGAGGGGGTGAGGGGGGATGGGGGTGGGGGGAAGGGGTGAGGGGGGATGGGGGTGGGGGAACGTGGTAAGGGGGGATGGGGGGTGGGGTCAAGGGGGTGAGGGGTGGTGGGGGGGAAGGAGGTGAGGGGGGATGATGAGTCGGGAAGGGGGTGAGGGGATAGAGAAAGGGAGGGGCACAGATCATGGGACCGAGAGCTCCACTTCATCTCACGTCTCCCTGTGTGGGGTGTGGGGAGCGGTGGCGCAGCGGTTAGCGCTTCGCTGCGCTCCGAACCCCGCGGGACCCGAGTTCGATTCCCGCTCACGGCCACCGACAACCACCGGTGACGATTATCTGAACCGGTCCTCAGCCTTAAACGAGTACCTGGTGCGGTGTGCAGTAAACATCGCCACTGGGGAGACAAAGGCGGCCATGCGTGGTGTCGTGCCGGCCTTCATAGGTGCTCGCTAACAGCACTTGCCCCGACAGTTCACGTGAGCTACACGGGGAGGGGAGTAGGCTTCGTCTTTGGCCTTAACAAGGGGAAATACATGATCGGCGACGTTCCGGGCGATGTCCCTTTCTCGGGACACGCAGAGAGACAGAGAGCTGGAGAGCTCAACTGGTTGATGCCCTGACCTCACTGCTGCCCTGCAAGAGGGGGATGAGTGAGCGGGTGAGTGAGCAGCTGAATGAGTAGACGAGTGAGTTGGTGAGTAAGTGGGTGAGTGAATGAGCAGCTGAATGAGTTGGTGAGTAAGTGGGTGAATGAGTGGATGAGTAGGCGAGTGAGTGGGTGAGTGAGTGGGCAAGTGAGTGGGTGAGTGAGCAGCTGAATGAGTAGATGAGTGAGTTGGTGAGTAAGTGGGTGAGTGAGTGCGTGGGTGGGTGGGTGAGTGGGTCAGTGTGTGGGTGTGAGTCGAGTAGGTAAGTGAGCAGGTGAGTGAGTGGGTGGTTGAGTAGGTTCGTGTGCTAGTTGGTGGGTCAGTGGGTAACTTGAGATTCACTGGATACACTCTGAGAAGGAGTCACTGGGTACACTTTGAGAAGTTACGCGGCGAAACTCCGTGAATGTTTACTGGACTCATGTCAAGTCCAGCGTGGGGTAAACACGGGATGACAAAGACGGAAAGGAGAGAGAGACTCACCCAGACACAGAGACACACACCGACTCACATATAAACTCAGGTAGAGAGCCTGAGAGACTCACATAGAGACTCACACAGAGACACATCAAGACTCACACAGAGACCCAGTGACTCACATAGACACTCACACAGAGACACATCGAGACTCACACAGAGCCACATCGAGATTCACAGAGAATCACACAAAGGTACACAGACTCACATATAGACTCACACAGAGACACATCGAAACTCGCACAGAGACCCAGTGACTCACATAGAGACTCACACAGAGACACAGAAACTCACACAGAGACACGCCCATGGACACGCCTACTCATACATATACACCGATAGACTCACAGACCCACACAGACCCATCCAGGGACATACACAAAGAGAGTCACACATACAGACTCACACAAAGACTGACACAGCGACTCACACGGATCCAGAGAGATCCAGGATGAAGGTTTCTGGCCTCCTCCTCGTCCTCCTCCTCTCCGAGTCAACCCAGAGAGGGGAAGCCTCACTCACCGAGGGTGAGTGAGTGGGTGAGTGGGTGAGTGAGTGGGTGAGTGAGTGGGTGAGTGAGTGAGTGAGTGGGTACGTGGGTGGGTACGTGGGTGAGTGAGTGGATGGGTGAGTGGCTAATTAAGTGAGTAGGTGAGTGAGTGGGTGGGTACGTGGGTGAGTGGATGGGTGAGTGGCTAAGTGAGTGGATGAGTAAGTGAGTGGGTGAGTGAGTGAGGGGGTAAACGTGTGAATGGTTGGTGAGTGAGTGAGCAGGTGAGTGAGTCGGTCAGTAGGTGAGTGAGTTTGTGAGTGGGTGATTGAGTGGCTGAGTGAGCAGGCCATTGAGTTGGTGAGTAGGTGAGTGAGCAGGTCAGTTGGATAGTGGGTGGGTGAGAGAGAGTGGATTGGTGGCTGAGTAGGTGAGTGAGTGAGTAGGTGAGTGAATACATGAGTGGATGAGGTCAGTGAGTGAGTGAGTGGGTGAGTCGGTGAGTGGGTGAGCGAGTGCATGAGTAGGTCAGTGGGAGGGTGAGTGAGTGGGTAAGTGTGTGATTGAGTGAGTGAGTGGGGAGCGGTAGTGTAGCGGTTACCGCGCTGCCCTACGAACTTGGCTACCCGAGTTCGATTCCCGCTCACGACCAACATCAGTGACGATTATCTGAACCCATCCTGGGCCTCCCCTATGCCGACTCAGTCTCAAATGAGTACCTGGTGCGGTGTGTAAACATAGCCACTGAGGAAACAAAGGCGGTCTGGCGTGATACTAGCCACCCACCCGCTCGTGTGCCGTGCTGGTCTTCATAGTTGCTCGGTAACACCACTTGCCCCAAGTCTGATTGAGCAGGCGAGTGAGTGAGTGGGTGAGTGACTGACACCTCCAATTATAATTATCACGGTTGGCTACATATGGTGTAAAAGAAGTTCAACATACACACATGCTTAGGGTTTGTAGGTGGGTGGGTGTGAGGGTGTGTGGGTCAGTGGGTGTGTGGGTCAGTGGGTCTGTGGGTGAGTGAGTGAGAGAGCGGGTGGGTGGGAAAGGGAGTAGGCAAGTGAGTGTGCAGGTAAGCGAGTAACTCAACCCAAACTTCACCACAGGCACGCATTATGCCCGGGAGCTCAAGCAGAGGCTGCTGTATAATCGCCAGTCCCGCCTGCCTGAGGACCTGAGCCTGAAAAGTCTGACCCCGGAAATGGATTCTGATGGATTGCCCCAGATCCCGGTAAGCAGATGCTCGGGGGCCAGAGGTCATCAGGTCATCATGAGGGCATGACCTCACAGCACCGTGATGATCGCAACCACCATCATCATTCATCAATATTGAACTCCCTGAGAGAGAGAGAGACCCAGGGCACACTCACTCACCCGCTCACCCATGCCCTCACTCATCCATCCACTCACTCACCCATACATTCACTCATCCATCCACTCACTCACCCGCTCACCCATCAACCTCATCCATCCACTCACTAACCCATCCACTCGCTCACCCATCCACTTACTCACCCACTCACCCATCCACTCACTCACCCGCTCACCCATCCACTGACTTACCCACTCACCCATACACTCACTAACCCATCCACTCACTCACTCACCCACTCACCCATCCACTCACCCACTCACGCATCCACTGACTCACCCGCTACGAACATGGCAGTGACCCGAGTTCGATTCCCACTCACGGACACCAACACCAGCAGGGGGTAATTATCTGAACCGGTCCCTGGGCCTCCCTTAAGTCGACTTGGCCTCAGATGAGCACCTGGTTTCAGTGGTGTGTAGTAATTATCGCCACTGGAGATACAAAGGCGGACAGGCGTAGTGCTGGCCACCACCTCCTCGTGCGCCGTGCCGGCCTTCGTAGGTTCTGATACTCGGTGCTGTGATGTTATCGACCTCGCCTGGTATACTGGAGGTCGGGAGTTCGATCCCGACCCTGAAATGCGTGCTGCTGCTGTATATTTGGAGTTTGCGTCTGTCTCTCATCATCATCAGGTCGCCTGGTAGGATGCACTGGCGGAGCCAGTGGGGGAGGGGTGGCACGAGCACCCCCCAATTATCCGATTGAAATCCCTAATTTCAATCGGATCATTGGGGTTTATTAGTAATAAATCGGCATTTTGCGACCCCCACTGCCACTGTGTAGCATAGTATTACGTGCCAGGGACTCTATGAGATGATAGGACAAGAGTCTGAGTCCATAATTGACAATAAGTAACGGCAAAGCAGTTATAAGTGACTCACAGAATTGTGCACAGTTGCGTATACAGTACACGACTTCCCTGAAGGCATTCACCTTCAGCGAGCGCGATGCCGATCACACACGGTTCGAATTCGACCCTCGATCGATGGCTGCGCCATCGCCGCACACGCGTCGAATAAAAAGCAAGGGACAAGTCCTTACTTACTAACAACTCCTATCATTTTTCATTGCTGGAGGGGTTGCCCCCCCTACCTGAAAATCCTGGCTCCGCTATTGGTAGGATGAGGATGGTTCAGTTTCATTTGTGTGATCTGTTTACCTTTCTTGTACTTTGCACCACTTGTACTTTGCATCATGTTTTTGTACTGTTTGTTGTAACGTTCTTATCTCGTGCACCCTACTGGACATTTGTGACAAAAAGAGCTTCATAGCCAATTGGATTCCTCCTGGTGCAGTATAAATATGTAGTGAGTCCAACTGGGTCGCAGACGTTGTTTTAGGAGCAACACTTTTATTAAACTCTTAGCACAACATACTTCAGGCTATAAACACAACATACTCCAGGGCTATTAACACAACATATCCTCGGGTGGTGACCACCCAACTAACCATGCTATGGTAGAACTATACACGGTTCCACTTTCCCGGTCCGGACCACAAGCTGGGTCCTGGAACGCGTGGCTGGAGGCTTCTTCAAGTTTGATGTGGATCTCCTGCCTCTCCAACAGTCAGAACCCCGAGCCCCTCACAGGGCCCCCTTTATATAGGACAGGGGCTGGGGCTGGCTCCGCCTCTCGCCACGCCCACCTTCTCGATCTCTCTCGCCCTTGCCCAAAGGCTCCCGATAATTCTTCCCGGGCCACGTGACCACCCATTGGCCCCCTTCACCGGTGGCCCCCCTCCAGTATCATCCAGTCACATGTCCCCAGGTCAGCCAGAGTATCATGCCCCCAACATAACCCCAGCTGGCTGACACTCTCTCGCTATCTCAAGGGGAACCCGCACCGCACGCTGTGTGTGGTGCCACCGCGATTAACCAGTGCTCACCCAAGCCCCCACTAGGGCTGGTACTACACCCCGTGTCCTGGGTGTATACACAACAGTAGACATCCCGCCGTGGCCTCACAGGCCCAGCACCACACAGTGACATTCCCAGTCGCTACAAATACAAGATTCCGATTCTGATCTGATACTCGCTGACAGCACTTGCCTCAACAGTCTGTGTGGGCTACACGGGGTGCTGGATCTTTGTATTTGTGTTGCAGCCGCAGTTCATGGAGCAGCCTCTCGACCACTTCGACAAAAACAACAACCGCACCATCCAACAGGTACCACCACACGTACCACAACCTCGACACGTACCCATCCCACACGTACCACTACACGTACCCTCCACACATATCACCACATGTAGCACAACCGCCATACGTACTCTTACACGTACCAACACACCTACCACAACCTCCACACGTACCCACCACACGTACCACCACACGTACCACACACCCCACAGTACACCCACACGTACTCCCAGACGTACCTCCACATGTACCTCCACATGTATCTTCATGGACATCTCGTCAGCGCAAGATGTTTGCAAGTGAGGGACGTTCGTTAGTTATCTCGGGGGCTGTCTGGGTGTTACTTCACCCTTGCTGCTGATTCTCTGTTCAGTGCCTTGGTTAAGGTGCTGTGGTAAATGAAATGAAGATCAGCGGATGAGATTAAAAACAATTCAATAACAATGAAGTAAATAAATGGGAAAATTGTTAAAATAAAAAAGATTTTGCGGCGAAGGCAGGAAAACCAAAAAGATAAAAATGTAAAAACCAAGTAAGTGAATACATGCAAAAATAAGTGAAAAGGCCGGTGGAAATAACGATATACTAAACCCCTAAAGATATTCTTCATCAACAATATAATTGACAATTCGAAAAAAGTGTCAATGACACAAACAATAGAAATCGCGAAACTTTTTTGTATTCAACAATACAAACAAAATGTCAACTAAAATTACGAACGGTAGTTATTTTATTATTTGTGTCGTAACACCAACATACGTTCTTGCTTCAATAATAGACTTTGTTGCGGACCCGCAAAGCTAAACACCTGGGCTCGGGCTTCAGTTCTTGACGCTCGAACTTCGTCTCCTCTCCAAGTCGTCCCCTCCCCACGTGCTCTCTCCCTTTGATATCCCTCAAGCCCAGTGCCGAATGAAGATAGTGCGGCGCCTGTAGAAAATGTTATAAAGGGACCCTAAAAAAATACACGTACATATTAAAACACAAATTTTAACTGACATAGTGAAGTAATTGTATTTATTCATTTGCTATACAGCCAGATAATACGAAAAATCGCTAATCTTAAACACCCAGTCGTTCGATAATTGGTTCTTTACCCTTCTATCTGGCAACAAAACTGACACCTTTTTGCAAGGAGTCATGTTTGCATAGACCGCAATACCTGCAGTCATAATACAAACAAAAGAACATAACTCTGATAATGTGCACTGTCCTTGAAGTTGATTGGTCCACACCCGAGACAGCTTTCCTTCGAGCCTAGTCTCATATGGGTTGGACCAGATGACGCCAAAAGGCGCACAACTCAAGGACAATGCACCATCAGAGTATGAGAGCTCGGGGCAAGCATCTACACTATGGGGACCTCATTTGCCAGTAAAAATATGATAATTGGTTCTTTACCCTTCTATCTGGCAACAAAACTGACACCTTTTTGCAAGGAGTCATGTTTGCATAGACCGCAATACCTGCAGTCATAATACAAACAAATGAACATAACTCTGATAATGTGCACTGTCCTTGAAGTTGATTGGTCCACACCCGAGACAGCTTTCCTTCGAGCCTAGTCTCATATGGGTTGGACCAGATGACGCCAAAAGGCGCACAACTCAAGGACAATGCACCATCAGAGTATGAGAGCTCGGGGCAAGCATCTACACTATGGGGACCTCATTTGCCAGTAAAAATATGATAATTGGTTTTTTACCCTTATATCTGGCAACAAAACTGACACCTTTTTGCAAGGAGTCATGTTTGCATAGACCGCAATACCTGCAGTCATAATACAAACAAAAGAACATAACTCTGATAATGTGCACTGTCCTTGAAGTTGATTGGTCCACACCCGAGACAGCTTTCCTTCGAGCCTAGTCTCATATGGGTTGGACCAGATGACGCCAAAAGGCGCACAACTCAAGGACAATGCACCATCAGAGTATGAGAGCTCGGGGCAAGCATCTACACTATGGGGACCTCATTTGCCAGTAAAAATATGATAATTGGTTCTTTACCCTTCTATCTGGCAACAAAACTGACACCTTTTTGCAAGGAGTCATGTTTGCATAGACCGCAATACCTGCAGTCATAATACAAACAAAAGAACATAACTCTGATAATGTGCACTGTCCTTGAAGTTGATTGGTCCACACCCGAGACAGCTTTCCTTCGAGCCTAGTCTCATATGGGTTGGACCAGATGACGCCAAAAGGCGCACAACTCAAGGACAATGCACCATCAGAGTATGAGAGCTCGGGGCAAGCATCTACACTATGGGGACCTCATTTGCCAGTAAAAATATGATAATTGGTTCTTTACCCTTCTATCTGGCAACAAAACTGACACCTTTTTGCAAGGAGTCATGTTTGCATAGACCGCAATACCTGCAGTCATAATACAAACAAAAGAACATAACTCTGATAATGTGCACTGTCCTTGAAGTTGATTGGTCCACACCCGAGACAGCTTTCCTTCGAGCCTAGTCTCATATGGGTTGGACCAGATGACGCCAAAAGGCGCACAACTCAAGGACAATGCACCATCAGAGTATGAGAGCTCGGGGCAAGCATCTACACTATGGGGACCTCATTTGCCAGTAAAAATATGATAATTGGTTCTTTACCCTTCTATCTGGCAACAAAACTGACACCTTTTTGCAAGGAGTCATGTTTGCATAGACCGCAATACCTGCAGTCATAATACAAACAAAAGAACATAACTCTGATAATGTGCACTGTCCTTGAAGTTGATTGGTCCACACCCGAGACAGCTTTCCTTCGAGCCTAGTCTCATATGGGTTGGACCAGATGACGCCAAAAGGCGCACAACTCAAGGACAATGCACCATCAGAGTATGAGAGCTCGGGGCAAGCATCTACACTATGGGGACCTCATTTGCCAGTAAAAATATGATAATTGGTTCTTTACCCTTCTATCTGGCAACAAAACTGACACCTTTTTGCAAGGAGTCATGTTTGCATAGACCGCAATACCTGCAGTCATAATACAAACAAATGAACATAACTCTGATAATGTGCACTGTCCTTGAAGTTGATTGGTCCACACCCGAGACAGCTTTCCTTCGAGCCTAGTCTCATATGGGTTGGACCAGATGACGCCAAAAGGCGCACAACTCAAGGACAATGGACCATCAGAGTATGAGAGCTCGGGGCAAGCATCTACACTATGGGGACCTCATTTGCCAGTAAAAATATGATAATTGGTTCTTTACCCTTCTATCTGGCAACAAAACTGACACCTTTTTGCAAGGAGTCATGTTTGCATAGACCGCAATACCTGCAGTCATAATACAAACAAAAGAACATAACTCTGATAATGTGCACTGTCCTTGAAGTTGATTGGTCCACACCCGAGACAGCTTTCCTTCGAGCCTAGTCTCATATGGGTTGGACCAGATGACGCCAAAAGGCGCACAACTCAAGGACAATGCACCATCAGAGTATGAGAGCTCGGGGCAAGCATCTACACTATGGGGACCTCATTTGCCAGTAAAAATATGATAATTGGTTCTTTACCCTTCTATCTGGCAACAAAACTGACACCTTTTTGCAAGGAGTCATGTTTGCATAGACCGCAATACCTGCAGTCATAATACAAACAAAAGAACATAACTCTGATAATGTGCACTGTCCTTGAAGTTGATTGGTCCACACCCGAGACAGCTTTCCTTCGAGCCTAGTCTCATATGGGTTGGACCAGATGACGCCAAAAGGCGCACAACTCAAGGACAATGCACCATCAGAGTATGAGAGCTCGGGGCAAGCATCTACACTATGGGGACCTCATTTGCCAGTAAAAATATGATAATTGGTTCTTTACCCTTCTATCTGGCAACAAAACTGACACCTTTTTGCAAGGAGTCATGTTTGCATAGACCGCAATACCTGCAGTCATAATACAAACAAAAGAACATAACTCTGATAATGTGCACTGTCCTTGAAGTTGATTGGTCCACACCCGAGACAGATAGAAGGGTAAAGAACCAATTATCATATTTTTACTGGCAAATGAGGTCCCCATAGAACCCAGTCGTTCGTAAAAGTTGAAGGCTGTATAGTACTATAGTAATAGAGCAAGTGCAGAATCACTGAAACGGAATTGATAGCTTGAAAGCATTTAGTGTGGGGCCCTTGAAAGTGCGGGGCCCGTAGCATTTGTAGCTACTTTTGCTACTCGGATCATCCGGTACTGCTTGAGCCCCCTTTCTGGAAGGTTCCGCTCACCCCCATTTCACTCAGCCAATCCCCGTCCTCCTTCTCCAACGGTTGGCAACCGTTAACCCCTAGCAGTCCACCCTCGTTTTCCCGCCTTTTACGTTGGAATTTCTCGACCACTCAGTTAAATTCTCTGACCCTAACCGATTCCTCTTTGAGGCCTCTCTGCAACAATCAGAGGCCATCAACGCACTTCTTGACTGTCCGTTTGCACGCGTACTGTGTCAGGGAAGTGGTCTGTTGTTTTCTTCGGTGTTAGGTGCCACTGAAATGTTTTAAGCTTCTTAGTTCTTTCGGTAAAGTCACGTAAAAGGGAAGTAATAAAATAATAAAAATAAAACATAATAAAATAATTTTCACGACGTTTCGGCCACAACGCAAGTAGCCGTCTTCAGGTGAAGAATGAAACACTGCCAAGCTTGGAGCGTATATATAAGCTGGGTTGGAGGTGGAAGAAGAGCGCCTTGACTAAAGAATTTGCATATCAAGAGGAATTTAGCATATTTATGGGAAATGCGTAGGAGGTGGGAGGGGAGGTTTTCAAAGTCATATAATGCCCATGCATTATGCAGGATTAGCAGCATCAGAGGGAGGGGGTAGCATTAACAAAGGGAGGGAATGTTAATAGTATGTAGAAGCCACGAAACATGTCAATGGGAGAGCGGTGGAGGGAGGCCCGCAGCGGAGCAAATAATGCATTCCCTGTGGAGAACACAAGATACACAGTCAATGCCAGTGAGTGGACTGCAGACCGCAGTCCACTCACTGGCACACCTCCTACGCATTTTCCATAAATATGCTAAATTCCTATTGATATGCAAATTATTTTGTCAAGGCGCTCTTCTTCCACCTCCAACCCAGCTTATATATATGCTCCAAGCTTGGCAGTGTTTCATTCTTCACCTGAAGACGGCTACTTGCATTGTGGCCGAAACGTCGTGAGAATTATTTTATTATGTTTTATTTTTATTATTTTATTACTTCCCTTCTACGTGACTTTACCGAAAGAACCAAGAAGATGAATCCCTGCAGTCACGAAAGCTTTAAATCGAAACTGTTTTAAGCTCTTTTTGAGAAGCGACCTGGCCATCACAAAGGATAAGCTCACCCAAGTTGCTGATATCATCATCGTGTGGACATTTATAGCAGCATCCAAATATTTTGAACGCACAGAGATCCATAGAGACCCATAGAGGCACGGAGACCTATACAAACACATAAATAACCACAGAGAAACATAGACACCCATATAGATACATATAGACCCATCAAGACCCATATTGATATGGAGAGACCCGGACTAATATTCAACTATTTTTGTTTTACCAGGTAAGACCCACTGAGCTGTATAGATGTTTTTTTTAGAAGCGACCTGGCCACCACAAATGACAGCCGTTCAACGAAGTAGCTTATTGCGTGGAAATGTATACCAGCAGCCAAATACTCTAAATGCGTGGTGATGTCGATTCTAAATGTGGAGGGAAAAACCAGAAGTCCGAAGTAAAATCGACACGACCACGGGAAGCGAGAGAGACAGAGACACAGACTCTAAATGTACAACAGGTGGTCAGGTTTGGGAACGAACACACTACCTCCTGTATATCAGGCGAGGTAGTTAACATCTCTGAGCCACCACGGCGCCTGTGGAGGCAACGCCGAGCTTTCCTAATGCCAAGCCGACTAAGAGGCACGAATCCAGGCCGCAGCGGCAGGCTGCAGCCCAGGAAGGCCTCGACCTGGCGCTTAGCCAACAACATTGCTGCACCCTACCAGGGAGTCCACACAGACTTACACACACACAGTGTATGTGTAGTGTATGCATGTATGTTGAACTATTTTCGCACCGTACATAGCCAACCTAGCTAATTGTTGTCGTGTATAAAGTATTGTACAATAGTGTAGTATATTGTAGTGTATAATAGTGTAGTGTATAGTAGTGTAGTGTATAGTGGAGTGTATAGGAGTGTAGCGTTTAGTGTAGTGCATAGTAGTGTCGTGTATAGTGTAGTCTATAGAAGTGTAGTGCAGTGTATTGTGTATAGTAGTGTAGTGTATAGTAGTGTGGTGTATAGTACAGTGTATAGTAGTGTATAGTGCAGTGTATAATAGTGTAGTGTATAGTAGTGTAGTGTATAGTTTACATCAATATGTACGTGATCTAACTCAACAAAAAATTATATTATGGACGCATACATTGTTTTCTCAGAACCGTATTGGGTCAGACAAAGGGGGGGTAACTACTCAGTAGAAACTAAATTCAACAACGAGAAGGTCTACACAGTAAGCCAACAAAAGGTTGAGAACCCGCTGTTGTACCCCCCCCCCCCCCATCTTTTCGTGTGTGTGTGTAGAGGTTCTGGGTCGATAACCGCTACTGGGAAGGTCCGGGTAGTCCCGTCTTCCTCTTCATCGGCGGAGAGAATCCACTCAGCAAATACAACGTCCTCCTCGGTACCAGTCTATATACACACACACACATGTAGTGTTGTAATTATTGACGAATAAACTTCTTTATGAGGCACACTATATTTATTGTATTTTCTTCGACACGATCCCTAACACACAAGGAGTATGACGATCCCCTTACCCAATACCTGGGTAGGTATGGCCTCCGGACTGGGTGGGACATAACACTGGTGACCCGTTAGCCTAATGTCCTCCGGCTGGGACTTAGGGGAGGCTGACTGACCCGACCACTTGATCCGTGGGTCTGGACCACTGACCTCACTGAGCTCCAGCCCTTAGAAGGGCTGTAGAGCTTGGATCCAGGGTCATATCTATCCGGCACCAATTCTCCCCCTGACCACTGGCCTCACTGAGGTCCAGCCCTTAGAAGGACTGTAGAGCTTGGAGTCCAGGTCCTGTCTTCAGCCCGGGCTTCAGTCTTCGTGTGGAGATAACTGAGCCAGAGCTCTCAGCAGAGGTCGCAAACGGGTTTTGATTCCTTACCCGTACCCGTACTCGGCCGCACCAGGGTCGCAAATGGGTACCCGTACCCGGCCGGGTACGGGTACTCGTTCCCTACCCGTATCTTACCCAAAATGTGACTCACGGTCTACCCGTACCCGGCCGCACCAGGGTCGCAAACGGGTACCCGTACCCATACCCAGCCGGGTACGGGTAGCCGGGTATCGGGTAGGGTACGGGTATCGGGTACCCGGTTGCGACCTCTGGTTTGACCCATGGCATTTCCCCCTTGAGGTAACGCTGCTGCACCCTGTTGACACCCAGTGGTACTGCAGGGCTATTGAATCGTGAGTGGCAATCACCTCTCCACACACACACAACTCTTCAGCAAAGACAAATATCCCCACGTGTTGCCTGCAACAGACTGTTGCGGCCAAGTGCTGTTACTAGCAAATAGCAGCAGCGCCTATGAAGGCCGGCACTGTGGCACACGAGGGGGTGGGTGGCCAGCGCCACGCCCGGCCGCCTTTGTCTCCCCAGTGGCGATGTTTATTACACACCGCTAACTATTTTTATTACACGCTTTTATTTAACTCACTCTGTTGTTGTTGTATCCTCAAATCTTGTAACTAAATTTTTACCCACTTCCCAATGTGGTATCGACTGCAAACTTGGTATACTTATGTCATACTCATGAAAATACTATATTCTATCAAAAAAGATGATAAGAACATTTTAAACATTCTTTTTATATGTTATGTTTCGGCTTGGGTCTAATTGTCCACGCTCAACTAACGTTGGCTGTAAATCAACACGGTCCCTTGCGTTATGGCAAGCTTCGGGGCCACTTCCTGGAGTCATGGAGTTCTGCCATTACGAGTACGGTACATTTCATTAAAGCGTGTTTAAAAATTTCAATATTACTTATTTCTATTTGTGCCAGGTGTAAGGCCCCACTGAGCTGTGTAGCTTCCTTCTCAGAAGCGACCTGGTCGGTCACAAATGATAGCAGCTCAACGGAGTGGCTGATATCATCATCATCATCACGTGGGAATTTCTAGCAGCAAAAATAATTTAGATGCATGTCTCTCTCTCTGTCTCCCCATGTCCCTCTCACCGAATCTCTTATTCTCCCCGTGTCTTTCTCTCTCCCCCTCTCCCCGTTTCTCCGAGGCTCCCACGTGGAGTTGGCCGAACGTATGGGAGCGATGGTGGTGGCAGCCGAACACCGCTTCTACGGACAGAGCACTCTCCCCGAGGGAGCCGCGGACTCGGTGCTGCCCTTCCTCAGAGTGCGCCAGGCGTGAGTAAACGTGTGGGTGGAGAGGGGGGGTGGGGGAGACAAAGGCGGCCGGGCTGGGGTGGGGGGGTTTGGCGGAGGCGGGAGATGGATCGAGTGGAGAATGAGGAGGAAGACTATTGGGTGGGAAAATTGGAGGTTGGGAAGACAGAGAGATAAGGAGAGAGAGACACGGGGTTAGATACACTATGGGGAGAGAAACAAGGGGGGAGAGACACCTTGGGGAGAGAGACACCAGGGGGAGAGACACGGGGAGAGAGACACGGGGGGAAAGACACGGGGAGAGAGACACCACGGGGAGAGAGACACCACAGGGAGAGAGACACGAGGAAAGAGACACGGGGGAAAGACACAGGGAGAGAGACAGGGAGAGAGACACAGGGAGAGAGACACTATGGGGAGAGACACACGAGGAGAGAGACACGGGGAGAGAGACACGGGGCAGAGACATGGGGAGAGAGACACGGGGGAGAGACACGGGGAGAGAGACACGGAGGGAAAGACACAGGGAGAGAGACACAGGGGGAGACATAGACTTTTACAATCCTTGATTTAAAATGGATACAAATTCATCAATACATTGACTGAAAAATTACAAAAACAGAAACCAACATCAAGGGCTCAGATGCCCCTGACGACGAGTCACATTTTTTGACGTCACAGAAGAAAAATGGAGGCAGGGGACCAACAGCAACTCATAGGTTATGAGGAGAGAGGCCCTGCGGTTGCCTCCATGGGTTCATGGTTCCAGCCCAGGTGTCTCCCTCCCTCTCTCCCCCCGTGTCTACATCTCTCTCGTATCCCCCCTCCCATGCCCCCCCCCGCCCCAGGCTGGCTGACCTGGTGGAGCTGATCCGCGCGCTGTCACGCGACCTCGATCTGCCTGAGGAAACTCGGTGGGTCGCCTTTGGAGGCTCCTACTCCGGGGCGCTGGCTGCCTGGCTCCGTGAGAAGGTGGGGGGGGAGAAGGGGTGGGGGGGAGGAGGGGTGGGGGGGTTGGGGGGAGGAGGGGTGGATGGGGGGTTGAGGGGGAGGAGTTTCCACAACAACAACAAACAGCCGTGACATCACCACCAAGTGGCTGTGACATCACAACAGCAAACAATAAGCAGTTCTAAAGAAATTTGCTTTAAATGTATCAGTGGTGTCGTGTATAGCGTCATTTATAGTAGTGCAGTGTGTAGTAGTGCAGTGTATATTAGTGTCATGTATAGTAGTGTATAGTGAAATGTGTAGTAGTGTGTTGTATATTAGTGTTGTGTATAGTAGTGTATAGTGTAGTGTTTAGTATTGTATAGTGTCCTGTGTAGCATAGTGTATCGTGTAGTGTATAGTGTAATGGATATTATAGTGTATAGTGCAGGATGTTTATGTTGCACCGATTTCAACCGACTCCCAGCATTCCATCACCTGCACCTTCGATCAGGGTCCAGGATACCTTATCGGAGAACGTGGAGAATTAATTTTCCTCATCTTAGCAGCTGCCCGTCACACACAGAGTAGACATCGGCGAGAGAGATTCACTGTCGTGTTGCAAATGCCAGCGCAGCCTTCGGTCTTTAATCACCATGACGACATCGGAGCGACCGCCAAATGAGTGGTCTGCATCGCTACCGCGATCCCCCATGCTCTCTGCACGGCACGGAGAGACGTGGGCAGCATATGGAAGACACTTATATCGGCACTTGAGAACTTCCATCAGCGCTGCTTATGTAATAATCCTTGTCATGGCCTCGCAGGACGAACAAACAATCATCAGTGGTCTTGAACAGGCCGGATCCTCGAGTATTGAGGCTGCTGTCATTCGACGGCAGCTCTGCCGGGGTAGGAGTATTGTCAGGATGCCCAGCTCGAGACTTCCCAAAGCAAACATCTCTCCACGACGGCGAGATGTTAAGTGCCTCGCCTGGTATACAGGAGATCGTGGGTTCGATCCCGACCCTGATGCCTGCTGTAAATTTGGAGTTTGCGTGTCTCTCTCCCCGTGGTCGTGTTGAATTTTCTCCGGGTCCTCTTGTTTTTCCCTCTGCGTTCAAAATCAACGTAACACGTCTGCTGATATGAAGTTCCACGTGATGATGATAAGCCACTTCATTGAGCTGTCATTTGTGGCGGGGTCACTTGTGAAAATTAACTATACAGCTCAGTGGGGGCCTAACCTGGTAAATAAAAACAATTGTTAGTAAGTGAGTTGGAGGTTTGCAGGGGAGGCGTCTTTGCGGCCAGATTTCTATTGATAATGATGATGAAGAAGAGTGACAGGAGGGACTGGAGGAAGAGTGTGCTAATTTGCCCTTCTAGTTCAGCTCTTTTACTCCAAAACCAAGATCGGGACATGCTCCAGAGGGGGCAATGATTCATTTTTTAACCGGGACATCCACAACTGGAGCAACCTCACCAAGTGCAACATCGACCCGGTAGCGTGGGAGTAGCCGGCGAGCGAGTGTTCACCTTGGAGAGCTCGAGTATACCAGGGACCAGGGGGATGTTCGACGACACTTCGAGTCACGAAGAAGCCGTCGTGAAACTGACAAAGTGGGCACGAAAGAGACAATATACCCAGGCCAGCCGGGACACTCAAAGCTTTCCAAACTATCAATAACTACAACGCACGTGCTGTCAATTGAAACAATATATGTGGTTCCTGCGTACTCACAAACTCTGACTATCATCGCTGTCGATGGATGATCATCATTATCAACCTCGAGGGATCCCAGATGATGATGATAATGCACTTTGAGGTCACGTGATGCGTGGAAGGCTCTCTGTTGGCAGGAGGTCACGGGGCAGACCCATGTACCATGGGCTGGCAGATGCACCACCTGTTCTTCCCACTTCGCCACCGCGCTATGCTTTCCACCCGGTCCTCTGCTCGTTGTTATGAGCATTGCTCCTCCACCTTCCATTGTTGTAGGAGGTCGACTGCCTCCAACTGACCAGCAGCATCCTTTACGAGCCTCCTCCACACAGGTCAATCCTTGCATCACTGGTAACGGTAATCAGCAAGTTAATGGCTGCACTACCACTCCCCACGTGTGGCCACATCACCACCTCGCTCACGATGCGATGCTGGTCGCTGCCAAACACTTAGCCCTACAGGCTGTGTGGGCTACACGTGCAGCTCTGTAGTTTGTGTTTGTTTGGCGGTCGCGTGGTTTTCTCTTCTGGGTCACGGTCAACACAAATGTCCCCATGTGATTACAACACAACTCGCCCGCTCAGCCACCCACATTCCACCCGCACTGAACCCAGATGCCACGACGAGTGGTACGTTGATGCAATCACTCACTCACCCAGTTACCCACTCACCCACTCACTCAGCCACTCATTCACCCACTCACTCACCTCACACACTCACCCACCCACTCACCCACTCTCTCACTCACTCAGCCACTCATTCACCCACTCACTCACCTTTCTCACTCACCCACCCAATCACCCACTCACCCACTCTCTCACTCAGCCACTCATTCACCCACTCACACCACTCACTCACCCACTCACCCACTCTCTCACTTACTCAGCCACTCATTCACCCACTCACTCACCTCACTCACTCACCCACTCACTCACCCACTCACTCTGTCACCCACTCACCCACTCACTCACCCACTCACTCACCCACTCACGTACTGACTGACTGACTCACTCCACTATAAAAACAAAGACCCCCGTATAGCCATGAACAGACTGTTGGGGCAAGTGCTGTTAGCGAGTAGAAACACCTCACACACCTCACTCACTCACCCACTCTCTCACTTACTCAGCCACTCATTCACCCACTCACTCACTCACCTCACTCACTCACCCACTCACTCACCCACTCACTCTGTCACCCACTCACCCACTCACTCACCCACTCACCCACTCACTGACCCAATCACGCACTGACTGACTGACTCCACTATAAAAACAAAGACCCCCGTATAGCCATGAACAGACTGTTGGGGCAAGTGCTGTTAGCGAGTAGAAACACCTCTGCGTGTTGGCACAGCATGGTAGGGAGTGGGTGACCAGCACCACACGCGGCCACTTTTGTCTCCCTTGTAGCGATGTTTACTGACCGCTGTATTTGAGGCCAAGTCGACCTAGTGGAGGTGCAGGACCGGTTCAGATTTTGTTTTCATACCGCATTGCGCTGGTTGCGAGACCACCGCTCTCCACAACAAAGGCCGGCACTGTGGCACACACAAAGACAAAGATCCGCCGTATAGCCTTGACAGACTGTAGAGGCAAGTGCTGTTAGCGAGCACCTATGAAGGCCGGAACGGTACACGAAGGGGTGGGTGGCCAGCACCACGCCCGACTGCCTTTGTCTCCCCAGTGGCGATGTTTACACACCGCACCAGATACTCATTTGAGGCTGAATCGACATAGCGGAGGCCCAGGACCGGTTCAGATACTCGCCACTGGTGTTGGCCGTGATAATCGGGTTCGTAACGCAACGTGCGAACCGCTATACTACCGCTCCCCACTGTGGCACACACACACGCACGCACACACACACGCACGCCTCACTCCACAACTTGGAACTTTCCACTCCCATCTCCCCAAATTGGGATTACGAGTTCAAAGTCTGCGTTACTGAAATCGGAGCAGTGGTATGGATTGTTTTGTACGTGCTTGTGGACACGTGTTTATATCGTGTGGTGGTTAGCGCACTGCACTACGAACCCGGCAGATACCCGAGTTCGATTCCCGTTAATGGCCACCAACACCAGCGGTAGCGATTATTTGAACCTGTCCTGGGCCTCCACTAGGTCGACTCAGCCTCAACTGAGGACCTGTTGCAGTGTGTGAAAGCATCGCCACTGGGGTGACAAAGGCAGCCCTGATAACATCCGATTACTACGGTTGGCTATGTACGGTATTAAAGAAGTTCAAAATACATACATCATGGGGAAAGGTGACTGCTGGGGCTGCCGTGCCTCAAATATTAGAGTAGCCAGCCCCTGTGTGTGGCTGATTGCCGTCTGTTGAGGAAGTACGATGAGTGATCCAGAGTCTGATACCAGGAAAAGCACTGGGTAGAGATGATCTCCCAAGAAAATTTCTGAGAGAGGATGGTGTTTGTGTGAGTGAGGGATTGGAAAAGGGAGTGAATGAGTGGGTAAACGAGTGGGTGACTGGATAAGTGTGTGGATTGGTGAGTAAATAAGTAGTATAGCAGTTAGTGCGCTGCGCTACGAACCCAGTGACCCAAGTTAGATTTCCGCTCATGGCCACCACCAGTGACGATTATCTGAACCGGTCCTGTGACTCCCGTCGGTCGACCCAGCCTCAAATGAATACCTGGTGCGGTGCGTAAAAACATCGCCACTGGGGAGACAGAGGCGGCCGGGCGTGGTGCTGGCCACCCACACCCTCATGTGTAATTCCGGCTTTCATCGGTGCTACTCGCTAAGATCACTTGCCAGAACAGTCTGTTACAGGCTACATGGAGGATTGTTGTCTTTGAGTGAGTGGATGAGTGACTGAGTGAGTGGATGGGTGAGTGAGTGGATGGGTGAGTGGGTAACTTACAGCACCACAGCTCTTACCATACTTAAGGTGATCAACATCTCACTGTCTCCCCGCATGTCTCTGTATCTCCCCATGTGTATCTCCCCATATGTTACTCCCTATGTATATCTCTCCGTGGGTATCTCTCCGTGTGTATCTCTCCGTGTGTATCTCTCCGTGTGTATCTCTCTGTGTGTATCTCTCTGTGTGTATTTCTAGTTCCCGAGCCTGATCTTTGCCGCCATTGCCTCCTCCGCCCCGGTTCGCGCCAAGGTGGACTTCCACGAATTCAACGAAGTGAGCGCCACCACCACCTCCACCACCACTACCACCATCACGACCACCTCCACCATCACCACCACCACCACCTCCACTACCACCTCCACCACCATTACCACCACCACTACCACCACCACGACCACCACCACCTCGACCACCAACAACTCAACCACCACCTCAACCACCAACACCACCACAATTCGCACCACCACTACCACCATAATGCTACTGCTGATGATGATGATACTGCTGATGGTCCTGAAGCTGATGATGCTGATGATGATAATGCTGCTGCTGATAATGATGATGCTGATGATGCTTCTGATGTTGCTGATGATACTGCTCCTGATGATGCTGCTACTTATGATGCCGATGACGCCGTCGATGATGTTGCTGATGCTGCTGAGGCTGTGTGTGTGCATGCAGGCGGTGGGCAGGTCCCTGGCTGACCCCATCGTGGGCGGATCGAAGGAGGTGAGGAGCTTGATATCAGGCGGAAGCCATTATGAACCTGGTGGTAGTGAGGGTGGTGGTGGTGAGGGTGGTGGTTGTGAGGGTGAGTGGGGAGCGGTGGCACAGCGGTTAGTGTGCTGCGGTACGAACCCGTGGTGCTGGCCACCTACCCCCTTGTGTGCCACAGTGCAGGCCTTCATCGGTGCTCGCTAACAGCAATTGCCCCAACAGTCTGTTGAGGCTAAACGGGGGATATTTGTCTTTGTTTTAGCGTCAGCATGTTGGGATGGCTGATCGATGCCTGGGTGTGGTCGAGGGATGGCTCCCTATTGGTCAACCACGTTACGTATGCTGATGATCTGGGATGACCTCTGGTGCCTACATTATTTAACATCGTTTTCAACAACGTAGTTCAAGAAGCCTTCCATGGTTTTACCAAGTGAATCTCTATCTGTACAGATACAATGGGAGGCTGATAGATACCCATTTGTGCTCAAGGAATGGACCTCTTTTATATAACCATGGTATGTGTGTTGATGATCTGGTGATTGCTGCTAACTCTGAGAAAGAGTTGGAGGCACTGCTGCTGAACCTGCAGCGTGCCACTTAGAGGTGGGGCCTTAACATCAGCCCCTTCAAAACTAAGCACCTGCCTGGGTATTTTGTGCCATCAAACACTTCAGCCCCCTCAGCTCCCCATTGGTGATGGAACAGTTGTGGAGAGAGTGGAGAGGTTTCCGTACCTGAGCCGGCGGCTTATGGCCAGCTCTGTTTTGGCAGCAGAGGTCTCACTCCGAATCAGTCGAGTGGCAATATCTTTTAATCGGCTGCACAATGCTGTGTGGAAGCTACCTGGTCTGTCGCTCCACACGAAGCTTCAGGTCTTCTCGGCCAGTCATGCCTTCCCTTCGCCATGCTTGCTAAACGTGGATCACTTTAGGTAAGTGAATGTATGCAGGTCTGTCCCGTGACCCCCGGCACCTAGCCTGGCACAGCAGCCAACCAATGGCACCTGGGTTTAACCAGGATGGATCACAGTGTGGGAAGCTTACATATGCTAGAAAAGAAAGGGAGATCTGATTTCCCTCCCTCCTCAGTGTCTCCACCATCTCTCTCTACTGTAATTCTCTGTCAGTAACTCCACGCTAATGCCCGATCCACAAATACAATGAAGGAGACATCACAGCAATCCGCTCCGCTACTCCTGACGCGGTTGTCTCGCTTGACTCACCTGAATGTGAAATTGTTAGCTGTTGCTCTGTATCTACATCAGCCATATGGAAGGAGAAGGTAGGCCGGGCATTCGAGACTTGCAGCGGCATTCAGAGCCCTTGCTGTTGGTCTCTGCCTTTGTTTTTTTTTACGTCGATTTGTTTAAAAATTTCTTCCCATTTGAAATAAAATATTTTCAAAGTCTATCTCTCTCTCTCCTCGTGTATCTCTCTCTATTCCCACCTCACGTCCCCCCCACCCCCGCGTCTCTCTCCCCATGTCTCTCTCCCTGTGTCTCGCTCTCCCCATGTCTTTCTCTCCGTGTCTCTCTCCCTGTGTCTCTCTCACCACGTCTCTCTTTCTCCGTGTCTCTCTCTCTCTCCGTGTCTGTCTCTCACTCCGTGTCTCTCTCTCTTTCTCTGCCTCTCTCTCCCCGTGCCTCTCCCGGCCTCTCCTACCCAGTGCCTCCGCCGCGTCTCCGAGGCGTTCGCGACCATCGACAAGATGATCCAGAGCGACCGCCTCTCCGAGCTGAGTCACGACTTCTCGTCGTGTGTGCCCCTGGCCGCCGATAGACCCCGCGACGTCGACACCTTGGTCACCAACTTGGCCGCGGTCTTCATCATGGCCACCACCTTCAACGCGGAGGCGCACGACGCCTCCGTCGCCGACGTCTGCACCACGATGACCGACGAGTCCCTTGGCAACTCCTACACTCGCCTCATCCACATCAGCAAGGTTCCCTCGCCTTGTTGGCTGGCCTGACTCACACCAACAAGGTTCACTTAGCTGCTTCACATCAACAAAGTTAATTCGCCTCACCGACACCAACAAGGTTAAATCACCTGACTCACATCAACAAAGTTCACTCAACCTGTTCAATCATCTGACTCACACCAAGGTTCACTCCCCGGACCCACATCAACAAGGTTCACAATATGTCCGTCTCGCTGGTTGTACCCTGTGTTATTTCTTCTTTATTTGTGTGAGTTTGTGTGTGGATCCCTATCTCCCTGCCCCACCCTCTGTGACCTGGCAGAGAGAGAGAGACAGGGAAAGAGAGAGTTTATTACTGCCCAGCAGCTAAGGACTTGTACGTGTGTTGAATTTCTTTTTCACCGTACATAGCCAACCGTGCTCATCGGAGGGTGGGTGAGTGAGTGAGTGGGTGAGTGGCTACGTGAGTCTCTGTATGTACGTTGGACCTCTTTCGCACCGTGCGTAGCCATCCGTGCGAATCGCAGGTGCCAGGGGATAAGGACAATTAACTCCACATCGGGGGTCCACGATTCAAGTGGATATCTGAGGCCAGTCACCAAGCCTGGATAATAAGGAGGAGGAGGAGGGTCGGGCGAAAGGGTGGTGCCGGTTATTCGGCTCGTGAAGAAAAAAAAACGAAAGGAATCCAAGAATACCGGCTCGGACGTCGCCCGGGTCAACCAAGGTCCGCGTCCCCAATCGAGTAACTGGGGGATTGGGTCGATAAATTTGGTACCGGAAACCATCAGCAGCAGCAGCAGCAGCTACGGCACCGTCAGGAAACAAAGCGGACATTTTCCAAAACAACGAAGAGGCTGAGAATGGCGAATGAGATCACAGTTGGCGGATGTGGAATGTGGAACACTGTGGGCAATGGGACAGTTAGAGCTGTTGAGAAAGTAAATGGAAATATACCAAGGCACGGCAATCCTAGAACAGGCAGTAATGGGGTGAACAGGAACGGGAGGAGATAAATTTGAGGGGGGGGGGGTGAAGTGATCTGTAAACACCAGAGGAGTAGGGTTACTGTTGAGCGCAAAAGCCAAAGCATCGTTAATGGAATACAGACCAAGAATAAATTGAGCAATATGTAATGGGCAACCCATAAATATGTCTGTTATCCAAATATATGCACCGAGCGTGCAGAATGGGGTATTGAAGATATCACTCACTCACCCACTCACCCACTCACCCACTCACCACTCATCACTCACTCACTTACTCACCCACCCACTCACTCACCCACTCACTCATCACTCACCCACCCACTCACTCACCCACTCACCCACTCACCCACTCACCACTCACTCATTCACTTACTCACCCACCCACTCACCACTCACCCACTCACTTACTCACTCACCCACTCACTCACCACTCACTCACCCACTCACTCACCCACTCACTCACCACTCGCTAACTCACTCACCCACTCACTCACCCACTCACTCACCCACTCACTCACTCACTCACCACTCACTCACCCACTCACTCATTCACCACTCACCCATGAAACGTTGCAAAGCACGTTAAAGGAACTGCCTCGGAAAGATATTAAGATAATTGTTCAACTAACTTAATACAACTTTTTTGTTTTGTTTACAAGGTGAGGCCCACTGAGCTACATAGCTCTTTATCAGGAGCGACCTGGATATTCCCCTTGATTTGAAGCTTTCGTGACTGCGGGAATCCAGACTCTTTGGTTCTTTCGGTAAAGTCACGTAGGTATAAAATAAAATATATCACGACGTTTTGGGCGCAACACAAGCATCCCACCTGATGATCGACGCTTGTGTTGTGCCCGAAACGTCGTGATTTATTTTATTTTATACCTACGTGACTTTACCGAAAGAACCAAAGAGTCTGGATATTACCATTGACAGCTTAACGAAGTGGCTCATCATCATCATTATCCTGTGGAAATGCACAGCAGTAACCAAATACTCTGAACGTGTGATGTCGATTCCAAATCTGGAGAGGGAAAACCGGAGGACCCGGAGAAATATCCACGCGACCACGGGGAGAGAGACACGCAAACGCCACATATACAGCAGCAGGCGTCAGGGTCAGATCGAACCCATGACCTCCTGTATACCAGGCGAGGGAGTTAACATCTCGCTACCACTCTCCTCACCCCCGCCCCCCTTTCTCATCTCTCTCCCTCTCTCTCCAGAGGTATCTGATCAAGAGAATCCCCTGCACGGTGAACCTCTACCAAGGGGTTATCTCTGAACTCCGTGACCCCCAGCGGTCGGAGCTGAGACCCTGGTTCTATCAGAAGTGTACGGAGCTGGGCTTCCGTGAGTATCACACCGTGGAGATGCACGTATATAGCTATAGACAGAGATAGACACATCTACATAGAGATACACAGAGATAGAGTAACATGAAGATAGCGAAAGGCACTATGCAGGTGTACAGTAGAGTCTCGATTATCCACGCTAATGATGGGAAAGATGGCCGGGGATAATTCAAAATGGCGAATAATAAAAAAATATTTAAGCATTCCTTCTAGACCACAAACATAGGTATACATTATTTTTAAGTTAAGAAAATTTTGTTTGTTAATAAACCAAACTAAAATGTGTAGTAAAGAATATATTGATGTTGCTTTATTACAGAAGTCCATAAAAAAACACACGCTCATGTGAAAAGTTTTGTAAAATCCTTTAAATTTTAAACAACCATCCTTCAGAGTATCTGCCATCGCACAGTTTCATTAATTAAAACTCACAAAATAAATGATCGGATAAATCACTCAAAATAAAGCACGAATGACGATCTCGATTGTTCATCTTTCAATTTAGAACGAATACAAATGATCGAGAGATCAATGATGCGCATGCTCAGTGATAATAATAACACCTTCCTGGCTACTGCTCAGCAGAAAACTCGGCCCACTAAGTGGATGATAGCAGCAGAGCCACGCCAATCAACATCAATCAAACTCCGCCTCACTGTTGTATAGATATTGCAACTACTGTACTGTAGGGGCGATCACGTGGATTTTGGATGAACCATGAGTAACTTATTTGTTCGGTTTAAGCACCATGTGACTTTTAATAAGCATATCCAAGGATAACAATGTATAACAATGTTTTTAGATTATTCATTTGGGCTTAAGGGATAATCCATGACTCATTAATTAATGTCAAAATCTCAGGTGTGCTGTTAATCCGCAAATTAGATAAAACGCACCTGGATAATCGAGAGTCTACTTTATACGTAGCAATACAATGGGCTGCCCAAACAGCTTATGTTTGGTTTGGTGGGTGGGTGAGTGAGTGTGTGCGTGAGTGAGTGAGTGAGCGAGTGAGTATGCAAGTGAGTGAGCGTGGAGTGTGTGAATGAGTGAGTGTGGAGTGTGTGAATGAGTGAGTGTGGAGTGTGTGAATGAGAGTGAGCGCGTGAGTGACAGCACGAGTGACTGCATGGGTGGGCGTGCGAGTGGGTGAGTGGGTGGGTGAGTGAGTGTGTGAGCGTGAAGTGTGTGAATGAATGAGCGAGCGAATGAGCAAATGTGCGAGTGACTGAGGGGGTGAGTGGCTGGGTGAGTGAGCAGGTGAGTGGGTGCGCGTGTGAGTGAGCGAGCAAATGAGTGAGTGTGCGAGTGACTGAGGGAGCGAGAGAGCATGCGAGACAGTGAGCGTGCAAGCGAGGTGCGCGAGGGATTGAGGAGTGACAGAGTCACCATCTGACCCGTTTCCCGTGGCTTGACCGCGCGAGCAGTCCAGACATGCCGCCCCCGGGAGGGCTGCCCCTTCTCCAAGCTGCTGTCCCTCGAGACGACCGCGGCGATGTGCACCGATACCTTCGGCCTCACCCAGCAGGATATGGAGCGCGGAGTGGAGTCCACCAATCGCATGTTCGGAGGCGATCGCCCCACGGGGAGCCGCCTGCTGTTCGTCAACGGTGAGCCCCGGACGGTCATTGCGGCTCGCCACGGTGGCTAGGTAGATGTTGTCTCCCTCCCCCGGGTACGTAGAAGGTCGTGGGTTCGATCCTGACGATTCCTGCTGCTGTATATTTGGAGTCGGTGTATCTCTGTCCCTCCGTTTTTTTCCCCTCCACATTGAGAATCAACGTCATGCGTTTATTATAGGTATTTGGCTGCTGCTATGGAGTTTCACGTGGTGGTGATGATGATGATGATGAAACACTTCCTTGAGCTACAGAGCTCAGTGGGCCTTACCTGGTAAAAAAAAATTAACGGGGTCGTGGGGTCAGCTTCGATCATTTGGGATATTGAATCGGTCACTTAGCCACTAACTCACCCATTCACTCACACACTCACCTACCCACTCACCCTCTCACTCACCCACTCACTCAACCATTCATTCAACCACTAACCCACACACTCAGTCACCCACTAACATACCCATTCACGCACTCACTCACACACTCAATCAACCACTCACTAATCCATCACTAACCCACTCACTCACCCAGTAACCTACCCACTCACCCACTCACTCACTAACGCACTCATTCACCCACTCACCCACTCACTCGCTCATCCACCCACTTACTCACCCTCTCACCCACTCACTCAACCACTCACCCACCCACTCACTCACCCGCTCGCTCACTCACTCAACCACTCACTCACCCACTCACTCAACCACTCACCCACTCACTAACCCACTCACTCACCCACTAACCTACCCACTCACTCACCCACCCACTCATCCACTTAATAACCCACTCACTCACCCACTAACTCACCCAATCATTCACCTACTCACCCTCGCACTCACCCACTCACTCATCTACTAACCTACCCACTCATCTACTCACCCACCCATCCATCCACTCAATAACCCACTCACTCAGCTCCACGCACTCACCCACTCACTCACCTATCACTAACGCACTCACTCACCCACTCACTCATCTACCCACTCAACCACTCACTCAGTCACCCACTCACCCAACCACTCACTCACCCGCTCAATCATTCACCCAACCACCCACTCACTCACCCGCTCACTCACACCACTCACTCACTCTCCCACCGACCCACTCACTCACTGATTCACCCATCCACTCACTCACCTGTCCACTCACTCACCGACTCACTAATCCATTCACTCACCCACTCACTCACCAACTCACTCAACCACTCACTCACCCATCACTAACCCACTGACTCATTCACTCACGCACTCACACATTCACTCACATACTCACCCACTCACCGAGTAACCGACTTGCTCACTCACTCACCCATCCACCCATTCACTCACTCACCCATCCACTTACTGACCCACGCACTCAACCACTCTCTTACCCATCACTAACCCACTCACTCACCCATCACTAACCCACTCACTCAGCCACTCACACACTCATCCACTCACTCACCTATTCACCCCCTAACCCAACCACTCACTCACCCACTTACTCACCCACTAACTCACCAAATAATTCACTTACTCACCCTCCCACTCACTCATCTACTAACCCACTCACTCACCCATCACTAACTCACTCACTCACCCACTCACCTATCCACTCACCCACTCACTCACCCACTCATTCACCTATTCACCCACGCATTCACCAACCACTCACCCACTCACTCACCTACTCACCCACTCAAAAACCCACTCACTCACTCACCTACCCACTCACCCACTCACTCACCCACTCATTCACCCACTCACTCACTCATCATACTGTGTGTGTGTAGCATCACAGCGACATCCGCAGGATTGATCGGGGCAGGCCAACCAGACCCGAACCACGAACCTCTGCACCTGACCCCTGCTGATCCCCTCCTCCTATCCTCCGCCGTGTGTGCAGGGGACGTGGACCCCTGGAGGGAACTCAGTGTGGTAGCCCCCTTCAGGGGGTCCGCGGTGAAGACTCTGACTGTGAGGGGAGGGGCACACTGCTCCGACACCAACCCCAGCCTCTCCCGGGACTCTCCCGCACTCACGCAAGCCAGGAAGGTGGGAAGAAGGGGAGGAGAGGGGGAGTGGCAAGGTGGAACGGGGGGTAGGAGAACGGGGTGGAGGAGGAGGAAGCAAGATGAGCCTTACATAGATACAAACCTAACTAAAACTATTTTTATTTTATTTTACCAGGTAAGGCCCCACTGAGCAGTGTAGCTCTTTTTATCAGAAGCGACCTGGCCATCACAAATGATAGGCCAACGAAGTGGCTGATATCATCATCACGTGGAAATTAATAGTTAATAGCAGCAGCCAAATCCCATGATGTAGCTGCCAACCCCGAGCTCTCGATGTCCTGATAGTGCATTGTATTTGTGCTGTTCGCCTTTTCCCGTCCTCTGGTCTAACACTGTTTGAGACTAGGCTCTAAAGAAAGCTGTCTCTGGTGTGGACCAATCAGTTTCAAAGACAATGCATTATATACTTCCGGAGCATTTTTTTTTTGCACGTTCGCCAAAAGTATATGTGGTTAATGCAGTTCATGATTCCTTGCAAAAGGTTTCAGTTTGGTGTTTTAACATCTTAACACCTCCTGTTTTATTGCCAGAAAGGGTAAAGCCTATTCTTATAGCCAAATACTCTAAACGCATGTTTCTACAGACTCCTAGAGACCCACAGAGATCCAGAGACCCAAATAGAACCATATAGACCCACAAAAACCTACAGAGACCCATAGAGACACATGCTCATCGAGACCCTTATTAAAACCACATGCACCGATCCGCAGCAGGAACCCATTTGAGGCTTAGTCGACCTTGTGGAGGCCCATACACAAGCTCGTGCTCTCTCCCCCTCCCCTCTCTCTAGGCTATCGGACAGCAGCTGGAGGCCTGGCTCCGGATGTCACGTGACCTCTGAGCTGGGACTGCATTGCAGGGCAGCTCGGCCCTGATTGGCCGACGTGGAGGGGGGGGGGGTGATCACGTGACCTTTTAACTTTGACGTCAACCGCAGGGCAGCTAGGCCCTGATTAGCCGACGGGGGGGGGGGGGAGCAGTCATGTGACCTCGGCTCAGATTGCCGAGGGACCTGCGAACAAATGGCGCCCCGTTTCCACCCCTCGCCATTCCCACCGGGAAACTTCCCGAATCGGCTTCCAACCAGGTTGACAGCTGCGGTGAGTCGCAGGCAAGGCTGTGGAGCTGGTTGGTGCTGAACCTCACCCAACCATCTCACCCAACTCTCTCACTCAACCGTCCCACCTCACCTCACCCAACCCTCTCAGCTCACCTCACCCAACCATCCCACCTCACCCAACTCTCTCACCCAACCGTCCCACCTCACCCAACCCTCTCACTTCACTTCACCCAACCACCTCACTCAACCCACCACACTCACCGCAGCCAACCCTATCATCTCAGCTCACCACCATCCCCACCGCTACCGCCCTGCTTTACGCTTGAAATAACATCGCGATTCCTGCCGAGGGTACTTCCGAACCGGTTTTAACCGGTTTCTAGGGTATCTGATTTGATAATGTGCCTTAAATTAAATGCTGCTCGAATCTTCGCTTCCAGTCAATCAAGGGGAGGAGAGGAGGTGGAGGAGGGGCAGGAGGGGAGGTGGAGGAGGGGCAGGAGGGGAGGTGGAGGAGGGGCAAGAGGGGAGGTGGAGGAGGAGGACGAGGGAGAAGTGGGTGGAGAAGAATAGGGTAAGGAACTTGGAGGCTGTGCAAGTGGCTGTGATTGGCTCAATAAACGCGCCTGTAGTTACACCATCGCCGTCTCCCTCCCTCTGTCTCTCCACTTGCGCGGGCGTTGGCCGCTACGGAAGGAGCTGTGTTTGGCTTCCAACTGCACCACTGCGCGGATATAAGTGAGTTGGTGAGTGAGTCGGTGAGTGAGTGGGTCAGGAAGAGTCCGGAAAAAGCAAACCCCTACCGCCTCGGTGGTTGCTGGACGATAATGCTGTGGAGTCTGTGAACAATGCCATTGGGGGGGAGGAGGGAGGAGGAGAGGGGGAGGAGGATAGCCTGTTAACCCTCATGGTGCTCGTAGCCACCATGGGGGCTCTGGACGGGTGCAAGGGGCTAGTGACCCCTGCAACTTCAATTCAATGACCACGAAACCACGTAAAAAATATCGAACTAACTTGTGCCGGAGGCACCGGGAGGACAGGTGTCTTTAAAGTTTCCTGGCCAAACCCGATTTAGCAAAGCCAGGAGACTCAACCCGTATCCTTGGGGTTCCTCCAGAAATGGCAAAAGGCCACTGCAAGTGGCTATTTACAATGTTTGAATGCTTATTGCGGAGAAGAGGCTGCCACTTCTCTGTCTGTAGCTGGACCGGTACCGCCTGGATCTAAGTGGTATTCATGAGATCCGGTGGACCGGTTCTGGCACCAGTCACCAGGAAACTGCCAAACAAGAGTGAATGGCTCTTCTTCTGAACAAAATAATGGAGGTATGGGAGAATGGTGGTGAGGTGTGAGAAGCTATGAGTTTCACGATAATGTGGGCTTATCTTCCCATCAATGGGCGGCAATGAATGTTGGTGGTTGGTTATGCCCCAACCAAATATGAACATCAGTGGAGAGATGTAGGCAAGGCCGATAAGTCAGATGCCTTCCATGACCTCCCGCCACAGGTGCTAGCAATATTGGCCCCTTGGGATAGAGTAGTGCTGTTCAGTGACTTTCATGCCCGAGTGGGTCATGATGGTGGCACCAGGGCTGGAATGATTGGAAGACATGAGCCAGATAGGCTCAATAACAATGGTTGAATTATGCTAGACTTCTGTGCAGTTCATAGGCTTCTAATTACAGCTGTTCCTGCATCGGCGCATCTACACAACATTATCGATGTACGCCGGGTACAAGCAAGAACATCTGCTGGACTACATTGTTACGGAACAGTGGATGTGGGCCATGTCCTTGACACCAGGACATGGAGCTGATCTGCCCACTGACCATCGGGTTGTCATCTGTAAGATGTGCCTGCCATTCTTCCACTACAGTGGTGGGTGTCCATTTAGGACCCCATTCAAACCCACAATGGCTTGGTAAAAGCTAGCTGATAAAAGTCGCAAGCAAGAATTTTATCATTGCTTACAGCTGGGTTTGGCACCATTCGCCCTCCTCTGGATGCTGAGGGGAATTGGGTGAGGTTAAGGACTGTGGCTCATGCAGCTACAAAAGCTGCTTTGGGTATGCCGTCCAAACGTCCCCAGAGACTCTGGCTGATGGAGGAGGTGATCTGGCTGGCTGAGAAAAAGCAATAGGCCCACTCCTACCATCTACAGCATCCCACGTCAGAGAATGAGGAGGCTTACCGCAGCCATGCGCCACTGCAAGGATGAGTGGTGCTTACTGGTTGCTGAGCAAATGGAAGCTGCCTCAGCCACCCGCGATGACAAGTCACTCTTTAATTCCATAAGAATAGTAACTTGCAGCTTCACACCTATCACCATGCTAAGAGGAAAAAAAGGTGATCTGATCTTCGACCCCCAGGAACAGGTTTGCAGATTTGCTGAACATTTCTCTGAGGTCTTGGGGAAGGGGATATCCCTTAGCCAAGAACAAATCATGGGACACAGTGGGGATGACCCTAAGGCTGCAGTATTGGAAGAAGTCGCCGCCTGCAAGTGGCTGGCTGAAGTGTCATTTGTTGAAGAAGTACAGAAGGCGATCCAGAGTCTGAGACCAGGAAAAGTGCCAATTAGATATAATCTCCTAAACGAACTGCTGAGGAAGGGTGGCAATTATGTGCAGACTGCCATAAATTACATCATTATAACAGCCCACAGGATGGGGAGGATGCCCTGATGGTCCCCCTCTTTAAGAAGAGGGACCACATAGACTGTAACAACTACATGGATATCTCCCTCCTCAGTATGTTGGGAAAAGTTCTGGCAAAAAATATTCAACACCGCCTTGCCATGCTTGCTGATGAGAGCCCCAATGTGGTTTTAGGCCAAGGCAGTCCTGCACAGATGCCATATTCTCTGTCTGCTACAGCCGAGGTGTCGGGAATTCCAACAGGACCTAAGATCTCTGTTTTATTGACCTGGTCAAGGCCTATGATACCATAAACAGACTAAGACTCTGGGTTTTTCTTCATGCTTTCAGAATTGCTATCTCTCTGCTCACAAGTGTAGTAGGTCAATAACTAGAGGAGAGTCTTTCTGAGGCAACATGTATTTTATTAACAACTAGCTTTACTACCAGCTTCGCCCGGGACTTTGATTATTGTCTTGGATTAATATGTTGTGTGGTGAATGACGACTCGGAGGCAGGTTTCCAGGTAAGGGCTTGTGCCGGTTTATTAACACAAGGGAGCAATAACCGCACCAGAGGTAGGTGCCCCTACACTGGGTCCTTCACGGGGACCTCGGCTATATCTGCTGCTAGCGCAGCTATCTCTCTCTCGAGTCGAGACGGGGGCTCAACCAACACCGCCCGACCAAGGAGAGCAGCGCCCCACCTAACCCTAGCTGGCTCGTGCAGACCTCTCCCAGCCTTACCCCTGGCTATCTCTTCAACCGCTCTCCATCCCGGGCTCCCACAACGACCCCCCTTTCATCACGGGGCCCCCCTTAAGTACCCCCAGGTGACATGACGTCCTCGCACCTCACAGCGCGTATGACGTCATGTCTCCATACTACTCTACAAATACACGGCCTACGCGTTGGGTTGGGCGATGCGTGACGTCAGCAGGCACACTGTGTAATGGCTGCCACATGCGGGGTGACATCACAGATGTGACGTCACCGCTCACTTGCCGTGCAATATATATCCATTATTGCGCCCCCCCCCCAAATACAAAAGTCTATTTTTATACGTTTTGCATTGTGTACATTCTGGAAGCTACCCACATGCTAAATTTCAAGTTTGTTGCATGTTGGAAAGTATGCTAAACATTTCGAACAGACCTATATATATACATAAATCCCTAACATAAATGGGGTAACGGCCCCTTACACCCGATACACTGAGGAGGTAGTCCTTCCGTACTAATACGCCTCTCGCTGGCTATTCTAACCTTTCTTGAGTGAAGCTTGGTCTTCACTGGTATATAAGCTGGAGGCCGACCCTTTCCAGGGGTACGGCTCTGCCCTTGGGCTCGTCTCTTCAGGAGGCTCTTGGTCTTCGGGTGGACGGCGACTGCCGGGGCCGTTTAGAGGTCCTGCTTTTATACAGGTCCGTGGCTTGCTCCGCCCCGGCCACACCTTCCTTCCAGAACCTTCCGCCAGGTCCTGGGAGGGTGACGTCATCCCCCAGCCCCCTCCTGGGGTCTGCGTCCCTGAATCCACTATCTCATAGGGGTTAGCGTTGGTCCCTTTGGCCATAGTCCTTGGACACTGGGCTCGGTCACTCTTCTGCCCCCTATTGACACGTGTGGGATACTACCAGCTGACAGCATGGGGAGTGCACAATAATACCTCCACACAAGCATTAATGACCTTCATGATGGTGGGCAGGCCTGGGTAAAGCTTGGTAGCTAGGAGTCAGAGCCATTCTCTATTCACTTTAGGGTGCGATAGGGATGTCTTCTGGTGCCTACATTATTTAACATCGTTTTCAACAACGTAGTTCAAGAAGCCTTCCATGGTTTTACCAAGTGAATCTCTATCTGGTACAGATACAATAGTAGGCTGATGGATGCCCAGTTGTGGTCGAGGAATGGATCTCTTTTATATAACCATGTTATGTGTACTGATGATCTGATGATTGCTGCTCAATCAGAGAAGGAGTTGGAGGCACTACTGCTTGACCTGGACCATGCTATTAAGAAGCAGGGCCTTATCATCAGCCCCTCAAAAACTGCAGTCCATTTTCTGCAGTCTTTTTGTTTGAACTTCAGTATTACATATCCATATACAGTATTTCAATGATGCGATCCCATCCAGTGTTATCCTTCCCAATTGTTGCATTCCAGTCTCCCACTAGTATCGTAATAGCTTTTGCCCAACCCTCTTTTTTATCCAGGCTTGGGACTGGCTCACATATCCACTGTATTGTGAACTCCCGAGGTGGAATCGACCACTTACCCAAAGACAAGGATCCCCCGTGTAGCCTTAACAGACTTGAGACACTGCTGTTAGTCGCGAGCAAAGCCTGTGAAGGTCTGCACTGCGGCACACGAAGGGGTGGGTGGCCAGTACCACACCCAGCCATCTTTGTCTTTCTAGTGGCGATGTTCACACATCGCAACCAGGTATATTCATTTGATGCTAAGTCGACCTTGGGGAGGCCCCAGGACCATGAGCAGGAATCGAAATTGGGTCGCCGTGTTCGTAGCACATTGCTAACCACAAGACCACCACTCCCCACACATCAACCACCAATCGCCACTAAGTGGTAGTTAGGGGCCATCCATTAATGACGTCACGCACCTGGGGGGGGGGGTCAGACATTTGTGACAAGGGGGAGGGGGGGGTTGAGAAATGTGACGTCACATCAAAATGCGCAACTTGAAATAAATATAGACAACACGTTCTACTTAATTAAATCGACTTTTTAATACATGTTATCTCCTACAACATCAGAGTGCAGCGCCACATTAAATACGTACTACAATGACAATAGTTAAAGCGATTTGAAGCATGTTTATTTTTTTTCGGGG